TGACGAATAACTAATAAACTATAAAACTCATCTTGTTGAACCGATAGAAAATAATAAGATGAATTGAAATTTATAAAATAAAAATGTATTCATGTATTCATATCACTGGGCTACTAGCCATATATTGATACAGGTTTTAATTTCAGAAGCCTCAATTATGTAAAAAACAACAGCTAGTTCTAATCTGATTTCGATTTCGATGTCGGTCATAGCTGCAAGTGCTAATAATTATGGTCACGCTCATAGTTCAATTTTACCCGTCTTAAGCCTATTGCGTACGTGCGCCGTTAGTTCATATAGTTACGCGCGTATTTGTGTAAATAAATACTGTAAAGGGATAGTATACATTGCGTGTGTATAAGAATAAAATACGGTTACGACTGTTTGATTGACCCTCCATAGTCTACGGATTTTCATTCCTGACGGGGAAGTCTGAGACATTTACACACACGACAGTGTCTAAATTATTAAGCTCCTCGTGTTAGTATTCCGCCTGAATTGACAGTGACAACGAACCGTATTCGCGCATTCGCACTTTGGTGTGTTTAAAAGATGTCATCACCGTCACAACGAGATTCTTTTTTATCGTTTGCCATAAAAGTTGTGTCATTATCTTTCTCTCTCTTTCTAAAAATAAATAAATACATATGACACATACACATAAATGTGCGTCCGCTTAATGTTTTTTTTTTGCTTTTTGGGTCTTACCGATGATAATGTAATAATAAAACACAAAATCACACAATATGAGTAACCGAGCAATTTGCGTTATTCGAACGTTGTCATATGAAATAAAATATTTTTTCGTAAACGATTGTTTTTATTATTATTATTATTATTTATTGTTAAGAAAAAAAATCTTATGGTATATTATTCCGTAATAACGTAACTGCGTGTGAACGTGTGTCGAATAAAAATATATGTATATATTTACATACCTATATATTTTAATTGTACTATAAATAATTTATTATACTACGAAAGTTATTATTCAGAGTGCGTTCAAAATATAGTGTACAAGAAAACAAGTCAACACACTAAAAGTTACAGCCTAATCAAGTTTACGTGAAAATCCATATTGATAGGAAATGACAATGGTTGTTTATATTTATAATGAAATACATATAAGTATACCAATCAACGGAATTGCAGAAATTATCGTTATTTGATGATGAGTATTCGCCATTAAAAAAGTAATAATAGTACCTATATTTAATTTTATTATCCAAAAGTTTTTTTTTTTGCTTCTAGTAAAAAAATATTACAGCTTTGATTACATTTATGATATTTTCGTTAAAATGTTAAATTATATATTTGATAATTTCATGATATAGCCGTAGACTGTATATTATATACATATAACTGAAAAAAGATTTTTTTTTTTATTAAAATAAATAATATTTACAATCTGTGTTTAACATCACAATAAGTAAATTGGATAATTAATGTACACGCTTAACTCGAATGATATAGAGGGAAAAAAAAGATAAAATATAATGATAATATTAATCATAATAATAATATGTATAATGTTGTCTAAACTATAATACAAGTTACACAAATATATTAAATATTGGAAATTGGATTTAGATAATAATTATGTGAAATTAATTGTTAGGTTTAATTATAAATGAATTGAGAAAGGAAAGTAGAGAGTTTACAGAGTTATTATTTTAGTCAGAGAACTAAAAATTTATCTGAAAAACTAAACTTTTCTTTATGTTGCAAAAAAAAATAAATTGTACGATAATAACCTGAGATTTTATAAAATTATGAAAAATATAAACAATAGATATCATTATTTTGTTGTTTATGTATGATATAAATATAATAATGACTTTCAAAAAATATTTTTCTTTGTCATCCATTTATTTTTTTTATAATTTATTCTTGAATGTCTTACACTCTTACTCGTTTACATTATATTCTAACATTATGTACCTATTCACAGTAAGTTATATTATAAGATTTACGAACTCAAAAAGTTCAAGGATGCAGTTTAATACAAATTAAAATATAGTTAAAAATAATCATTGAAATATTTTTATTTTAACCTATTTAGAAATATTCATTGTAGGTTATATTTATAATAGTTTTGCTAGCGTGCAAGGATAATTTTTCAAGTATACAAGATACAACATTAAGTTTATAATGTAGGTTGATTTATTTTTCTTTGTTTGAAAGCAGTATAGATAATATAAAATACAACATGTATATTTGATAAATCATGATTTATATCGAGTTCTGTAAATTATTGATATTATTTTAGAAAAATAGATTAAAACTATTTGATAAATATCTACTTAAAACATATTTAAATAATGATTACAGCGTTTAATGCGCAATAGTTGCTCTACAATTTTATTTATGTGCATTGTGTATACATTTGTATATCTTTACCCATTCATATTAAACATTTAAATATATTATATGTACTATCTAGATATAGGTAAGTATAAATTTATAATTTTGATATTTATACATTGAAACAATATAATAGAATATACTGAAATTTAAAAAGTAATAACTAATTTACTATTAACACATTAACGTACAATTAATTTGATTCTTATCGCAATAAATAAAATAGCGTGCCTATAATATTTAGATTAACATTTAATAATTCATTTTTAAAAATATTACTAATAAATATTTATATATTTCACATATTTATTTATATTCAACAATTAATTTGCCAGAATTAATAATTGCACGTTTGATTTATTACTTATATTTTATCTTATTTTTATACGCCTCAATTTCTACGATCATTAGCGTATCTAATAAACACGTTACCTACATTTAATTTAATATTAAATTAAGTTTAAATATAATTCATAATAAACTATTTATTCTGCTATGACCTTTATATTACAATGTGTAATTATATAGTTCATTATTTTTCAATTTGTCTTTATGCATAAATACATTTTCTTGGAAATGCAATTATAAATTTGTCTAAATTAAACAAATTAAATACATTTTAAACGAAACTACGACTATACTGGAATACTGATTTAGGATTTAGAAATTATAAATAATTTAAATAATAGATCCACTAAACCATCATATATTATAATAATAAATTAAAATATTCAATTTGATCTCATTCACAAAAGAACAAAGTTACATGTTCCCCTGAACGTAAAATAAGTATATATTAATAAAAATGTATGTTAAAAAAAAAAAATTTCAATATTGTTTAGAGCTTAGCCTGTAATATTAATATTATCAATATAAAGTTATTATTCGATTTTATTATTTATATGAATATACTCGGAAATGTATATTCATGTTTGTATAATGTTCAAATTATAATTATGCCTAATGGTATATTAGATGTGTTATTACCTATGTTACTGTATTTTCTGAACTGTTTAAAATATTTAATTTTTAATTAATTATGTTTTCACAGATCAGTTTATTTTATTATTTTTACTTTTCTTTTTATGTACTTGTATACTCATAATATAACTTTTGTCGATTGGCTTAAATTATTTAGTTACTTTATAAATTTAGTACAAATTGATTTAAAATAATTGCTAATACCTACAAAATGTTACAACATCTATGAAATATTTAATTCTAAATAGCACCAATAGATGATAATTATTATTATAGTTAATATTATAGAAGATAGGGAATAACATTATTTATTTTTAAATTGATTTAAAAATGACTAGATGTATCTAGCTATTTTTGAAATTAAAAAAAAAAAAAACTATAGACTATTGTAGTAAAAATTACTAAGTTTTTAAAAATTAAAAAAAAGCGGAAAAACCATTTTGCTGTACAGTATTCTTTGAGTGTATCTTTTCATTGACAAGGACGTTGTAATGGATGTGTTAAATTTGAATTCAATAATAAATCATTACATATGATGAAAAACGATTCTGAACAAATGCGTTTTAACATCCTATATTTCTAAAGACATTCGATTATATTATATATATTATTTAATATTTTTTTTTTTTTAGTAATATAGTAGTTAGAAGTTAAAAGTTTTTTATCCAATAATAATCAAATCTTTAATTTAATAAAATAGTTTTTTTTTTTTTTATTTAATCATCCTTTTATTTTATTTTTAAATATTATAATTGTAAATAACATATATTTAATTTTAAATTGCAAAAGGGGTGATCCTTAAGTTGTGTGGACAAAACCTCTGGGATGGTTTAGATTTATCAACCACCCGTCTTGACTTTCCAGAAGGTTGATGAGTAACTTGAGCCGGGGTAATGAATACTAAGTAATAATTATAATTATATTAGTTCATAGCATATTATTAGCTTGCACTAAAATATAAACTATGTAACGAAAAACGGGTGGTGTCCTTCGTGCACTAAAATTATTGTGTTATCAGTACATCTAAGTTGAAAAATGACAAAAGTTGCTCAAGTTGAAATATTAAGAAAAAGAAACACGTAGTTTTTACGTCACATCAGGGGAAATACTGTAAATCATATTATAAATGTATTTATTAATTAATAATCGGCTCCACAGTAGCAAGCAAATTATTGTAATTATTTATTATAATTTAATAAAAATAAAATTTTGTTTAAAATGTATACCATTCAAATTTTATCATTATTCTTTCAACCTTAAAAAAAAATCTAGCTGAAGCAGTTTGAATAAGTTAATGACATAATCTAATTATTTTAAATATTTTATTATGTATAGTTAATAATAATATACAGTATACAGAATAGCAAAGAGTTTCAAGTCCGATTAAATCATGAGTTAGAATTATGATAAAATATATAATAATATCATTATTTATGTTTGAAATATTAAATTTTTTTAAATTTTGTATTTCAAATACTTATAATAAAAATCGTTACTGTGTGTTTTTGGAATTATTTGATTTCAGTAAAAACAACTCACAAGAAAATTATTATTTGATATATATTATTTTTTTTAATATCACTTCAAATTGAAGATAATCATCTAAATCTAATTTTTTTATATTCTTATACAGTTTAATTGCATTTTTTTTTTAGGTTTCATTTTGGTCAACAAGTCCTGAACTAAGTAATAAACAACGTTTCGAGTACTTCACACGAACTATACCATCAGATCTTTACCAAGTAAAGGTAATGGTAGAAATTGTTCGGAGACTTGGCTGGAGTTACATATCAATTATATACGAAGAGTCCAGTTATGGCATTAAAGCTTTTGAAGAATTAGAGAAATTGATGCCCAAGTACAATATTTGTATTGCTGTAAAGGAAAAACTAGTAAAAGATTCAGGCGTGGCAGAAGAAAAAGCTTATGATGATATTGTTATTAAGCTTCTCAGCAAACCAAAGGCTAAGGGTAAGAGCTTTTAACTATAATTTATGTGTATAAGTTTCATTTAAAAATAATTCAATTTTATGTATATAATAATTAAATATATTATTGTATACATATATGTATAAATGTTCAATTACATTTCAAAAGGTTTTTTAAAGCGGTTTGATACTTTGGTAATTATACTCTTAGATCAAGGTTGGGAAAATTAATTGTTTTGATTTTTAGATATAATTTTTAATTCTTGTATTTTATTACAAACATGAAAGTCTTGGGCAACTTATTAATCCAAGTATTCGCCTGAATAATTCATTTAGGAAGTAGTTGTTTTTAATTAGTTGATAGTAGGTATTAATTATATTTTAAGGTAATATGTCAGAAACTTTTGTGTGATAGGATATGGTGGTGATATATTTATTCAATATTAAATCAGTTTATCGTACATTTATAAATTTTAGTTTTCTACACGCAAGTAAAACTATAAAACTTAAGCTGATTTACTCACACGGGAATGTATTTAATGAAATTAATATTATATAATAAATTACGGTATTAATTACTAATGAACACAAAAGAAATAGGTTTTCAATTGTATTTCATGTGGATTATAATATGATGGAATTCGACGAAGTTCTAGAGTTCAAACTTTAGATCAAAATAGTTATTAAATTCACCATAAGCTGTGCTATTAAGATTAACCGGAGGTAGTAGATCCATCATGAAGGACCTAAAAAAGGATTAAATGAGTGTCACATTGTGAGAGTGGAATTATATGACGCCAAAAGACGAAAAATGACGTTTAGTTTAATAATAATAATATAAAATCTGTGTTGATTTCTTAGTGTCACAATGTAGATGGTTGAAAGATTTTCTGTGAAAACTGTAGATTTTGCGAGAAACGTATTTACTTTCGTTACGTTAAGATTTAGGACAAAAGATATTATAGAATGGTTGATAATATTTGCACAACATTTGTCTTTGGAATTGTGGTTGAAAAAACCTCACAAGCAACCATCTTGTTTATAAAAGTGCCGAGCGTTGATTTTTTCACTAAAAAAAAAAAAGAGACAAAAAAAATATTAAAATAAAAATCCGGAAAAATAAAAATAAAACACAAAGCAAAAATGACTACAGGACGAATTTAATGCGAAATATCATCTTGTTATTTATTTGAAATCTCTCAACGTATCATTTGAATAAAAATTTATGATCTTCAGTACCGTTTCTATTTGAACGAGAATGATTCTGATGCTACGAAAAGATAGACACACACACATTGTCCACTGTTGTAATATATTCATTTCATACGGTTCCGTTATCTATGATGACAATAATTTGCGTATATATTGTGTAGGTAATATATATCTTATATTATAATGTACTACTGCCGCTTCTCAAGCGCCTGACCGTATTTTCCAAATACAGGTGTTTGGAAAATTGCTTTCCCAGCACTAGTAACAGCTGTCGATAGAATATTGGAAATGTCGAACGTGCCAACGGGATTCGACTAGTACATTACTATTTACCATGCTTCCGTATATAATAGTATATTACATACTATAGACAGATATTTTTCAATATAATTATAACTACTTTCAAAAGGTATTCGTTCATTGTGTTTCAGCGCATGTTACCCTAATAATTATTTGTTCACGTAAATTTCAATATTGAACTACAAATTGTTCACTATATTATATAGTATACATATAAAAAATTCATTAACTTACTTGATAGGTTTGACGATCTGATTAAAATCAGCTTGTTCATAAAAAAAAAAAAAAAAATGTTTTTAATTTTATTTTTAGTAATTTATTTATTTTATGATTATTATTTATTATTAGAGTTATCTAAGAGTTCATAGGAAATTTCGAACAAATTTATTATTACTAATGAATTTTCAATGCTTTGATTGACAAGTTTATAATCATATTTATGCTTCAATGGTTTAATGTGAAACATTATTTTCATAAGCGTGATATCTAACATCTAGCCACAGAATATAATACGTTTGGATCTATCACAGTGTTATTTTAAAACCCCCATCATTGACAGTACCTAGTATCTACTGTATTATTAAGACACTCATCCTCAGTGTCCAGATACGTATAATCGTTAACTGCCACATTGAAAATTGAGTTTTCATAATAATATATCCCAAGCACGAATTCGGGTTTAAAGAAACATTTTGCAACAATAGAGATAGATTTGAACAATTGGTCAACATCAGTGTATTAAAAATTGAACAATTGTTAAAAACAAACTTTCAAACACGTTGTCGGTTGATTTATAGTGAAAACAGAGTTAACCATAGTCCATAGATAAAAGTTACCATTTTTATTGTAACATGAATTGATGATAATTTTTGTATTATAGTAAGGATTTTAAAACAAAAATTCATAAATAAATATTGAAAAATAAATGGAAATAAAAATAGAAAAAAACCGATTCCAATTCAACAATGATTTTACACAGGCCAATTAGTATAATTATAATGTTCAAACAACTATCATAACCATTTATTGTTGTAGATTATTTTAATAGTCATAACACATTATAGGGTAGTGAGTACACAGGTTAAAAAGGTAAAATTATCAAATAATAAATAGGAATTAATTAGATTAAGATTTTAATATCTGTACAGATATAATATAATAAATTGAACTATAGGTAATTAAAAAAATTACCTTAACTATGGATGGAACAAAAAATGTAAAACCACGATAAAGAAAACAATTAATTACTCAATAAATAATAAAAAAAACTAGACAATTAAACGATCTAATAAATCTTAGAAAAAATAAATAAAAAGAGAATATAAAAATAACAATGCAATACAATTTATTATGAACATTAATAATTGGTACTTAATAAAAAAAATTAACAGGGAGTACTCCTTTTTTAATTTTTAAATATTTTTAAGGAATTATTCTAATTAACTGTTTTACCAGAACAATGGAGTCTAACTTTAATTTTACCAATTCAGAATCCTAACAAAAATAAATTAATATATTATAATTAATAATGAAATTATCAAAAAACTTCCTAACTTTAAACACTTACTAGTGACGAATTAAAAATCTAAAAAGACACTGTAGCACAGTAGTTACAGCATACAATTATTAATATACTCACAAATCGCAAAATTATTGTGCGTAGGAATATACGCAGAAAAAAGATAAACAATGTATTTTGTTCTAAAATAAATAAAAACAATTGCTAATACCTCGATGATTACATATTTTTTGGTGATTTATTAAGTTCTATGAATCAAAAACAGTGGAAATAAGATTTCTTGGATACGAAGGCAAAGTAATATTTTAGCAAATGAAAAATTAAATGTACTAGCAAAAGAACAGTAAATAAAGGTTAAAAATAAATTACTCAAAATTTTAAAATTAAATTTCATAGTAAAACATATTTTTAAAGTGAAAAACAAATTTTAACATTGATGTAATTAATGACAAGACAATTTTAATAACTTAATTTAACTAAATAAATGAAATAAATAGATAAATAAAATATTTTATAGATCATAGTTTACATTTACACTTTTGGTGTATGTTTACTAGTGTATGGGTTACAAAAAAAAAAAAAAGACTAATATAATGAGAAAATGCCCGAAATAATAGTTCTGCATGAAAAGATATTTTATTTTGCCATCAAGTGCTGTCAAATAACCGAGGCAACAAGTACCCTACATACATCATTAAAAATGATTCGGCATTATGTTCAAAACACTTGAAATTGTTTTATGACAATAGTATATGATGATATATTAATAAATAATATATACTATTATAATAATTAACAATATGAAAAATGTAATTTTTTTTTGCAAAATTTAATTCAAGCAGCTATATCCTAATAGTAAAATTAATACTACTATATCACGTCTCCTGAAAATTATATTTCATTTACAATGATTTATAATTCGATCCAAATTTAACATATCAAAATTATTATAATATAGTAAAATAGATTCTCTGTTTTTTTTTTTTTTTATAATAACTTATAACATACCATTTTAAAGTAAATTTTAAAACTACTTTATAACAAATTTATACAGTTATAACTATACAGCAGTACAGTTTCATAAAAAGTTCAAAAGTTTAAAAAAAAATATCAAATTTTGATGTTTGTTAACAAAAAAGTATTAGATAAAACATAATAATAAGGAAAGTATAAAATATAAGTGTTGTGTGCGTTTATGATTTTTCGAGTAGAAAATTGTAGAAAATTAAGAAACATATTTTTAAACTCAAATGTTTTCTTTTTATAGTCCATCCAATGCATAAGTCTTTCTAAAAAACAAAATAATTTTTTTTTTTTGATGTTTATAATATTAATATTTTTCAAGTGTAACTTTAATTCTTTAATTCTAAGCGGATCAAAGAAAATAACGGTTTTAAATTAAATCGATGTGTTTTTTTTTTGTTTTTAGAATTATTTTTTTCAATATAAAGAACATAGTTTCGTAAAAATAAATAGACCAAACATAGAACTAAATATTCAATAAGATTTAATAAAATTAAACGAAATCATTTTTTATTTTTTCAATAATTTTTAGAATATTTAAGATTTAAAACGTGAAAAATAATACAATATATTAACTGAGTTTTGATGTAAGATGAATTTTTGAAAAAAAAAAATGATTTATCATAACTATCATATTTTAACTAATACTAATATATTATATTTTCTTTTTTTATTAATTCTTTAGTATAACGGGTCATTAAATATTTTGGGTTACTACGCTATCTTTTTTAAACTGTTTTTTGTTGTTTCTTATAGTTCACTGTTAAACTGTTTCGCTATGTTTTTGATTTTTACGCATATCAATCTAATTTTGACGCGATTTTTTATGTAACTAAAAAAATGTGTTTTGTTTTATAGTTTATTATTTTTGTACAAGAATTGGATAAATATTTCCACTTAATTTCCTTAAGTTAACATAAATTATTTTATATTTAATTAAAATTATTCTTGATTTGAATGTAAAATAGTGAATGACAGTTAAGCAATAA